CATCTGAGGCAAGGACCCCCCCCCTTTCATTTATATCTTTCCCCCAAACTTATAAATACAAAAATAAAGGGAAGAAGGCAAAACTCCTTGCTGGGATGACAGAAGCAGCAGAGCCTCGCTGGGGAGGGAGGGCAGTGGGAGAATCAACTCGGAAATCATTATCTGTTGGTTAAAACCTGCCTGGGGTAAAATTTCAACTCGATTTTATAGCCTCCTATTATGACGCGAAGAAAAATTTACGACCCTCGCTTGAAAAGAGGGCTGGGGCCTTTTCTCACCGGTTTAAGAATAGGCGGCAGATGCCGTGACAGCGACTATTGTTCCCGGTAGACACAGGCGACCGGGCAACTTCGGCCGCGCGCGCGCCCGGCGCATCCCCCAGCCCGGGGGGCTTTACAGCCCCTGTTGTCTCCCTGCAGCCCCAGCACCCTCGCCCTGATTTCCTTCTCTCTCTCTCTCTCTCTCTCTCTCTCTCTCTCTCTCTCTCTCGGTAATTTTTCATAAGTGCAAACCTTTGCTGAACCAAAGGTCACCATCCAAGCCACTAACAACTCGCCAGCACGCAGTTCCACATCAAGAAGCAAAGGGAACTATTTGTCAGCGGCCCTGACAGCTAAATTCATTAAGGATTTAAATCTGAAGAAATAAAAGTCGCCAAAATATTTACCTGCCGGCTGCGCTCCCGCGCCCTCCACTGGGCCCGGGTGGAGGCCGGGGCGCCGCGCGGGGGGCCCCTGGGCGGGTGATATTCTTGGGATCCCTGCACTTTCCAAGTCGGAGAGAGCCCTTTGCGTGGCAGATTAATGACGACTCCGTGTTTCTTAAGGGACGCGCTGAATTAATTATTTCGCCAATCACGTGGTCGGGACTTGTAGAAATCTATTCTTATCATCTTCCTCGCACTTTGAAAATTCTCCGGGTTATGAAAGGCCCTCCCCCAGCTGCCAGCGAGCCGGGGCCGCCAGCCCGGCGTGGGGGGCAGGGAGGGCTCCCCAACATGGCGGGCGGCGGGAGGCGCCGGCTGCCTGCCGAGGGGCCGAGTGACTGTACTGTACTCCAGCGGGCTCGGCTGTGGACTCGCTTCCTCCTCGTCCCAGCCCGCGACTCAACACACAGCCCTATTGATGTATTGGTGGGCACAGGAGGAGCCATTAGCCAGAAGACAGGCAAAGGACCATCATAGAATGTGCCTGAATATTTAAACTTCTGTCTGCGCACTTATAAATACACATGTCCACGCGTCTGGGGCGAGCGCTTCCATATATTAAGGACACATGTCTGATTTTACGCATTCTGCTCATTTCCTGTCTCAAGCAAGTCCCCCCACCCCCATCTACTTTGCAACTGCTGTCTTCGCCCCTTTTCTAGGAGAGGCAAAAACGTTAAAAAGCCCTCGTGATAAAAATAGCGCAGGCCACTTGGATCGTGGGGAGTGTTTATTGTCGTCTGGAAGGCGGAGGGGGCGCTGGGGGTAAGGAGGGGCAAGTGCTAGAGGCCCCACTAGGGTTGAGTCCCACCAGAAAAGTAGAAGGAGCCCAAGATTGGGGGCCAGAGGGGTCAGTCCCAGCTTGGCCCAGAACTCAACACCATACACCCTCTCTTAGAGTTGGGGGTGGGGTGGGGTGGGGAGATCTCTCACCCACCCTGTCACAAACAGAGGCTGAAGAGGTCTGGGGCTGATTGGGGCCACGAAGAAAGCCAACCTGGAGCATCCTTTTAGGCCAGTAACTTATTTTCCTTTCAAAAATGATGTCCACCACCCAGCAGCCTGAATTCAACCCCAGACTTCCCAATGCTCACAAAATATGGTGGCCAAATTGGCAGTATGCGTGTATGTATGTATGGGGGAGGGTGTAATGATAGCATTGCTAAGCCTTACACAGTTTAACCTTCATATGCCAAGCACATTTCAGAAAATAAAAAAAAAGTTTATATTGAATGTTAGCTGTCAGAAGACTTAATGAAGAATGCTTCTGTGGAGGCACCAAACAGGAGGGAGATTTCGCTATACCTTTTATTTCAAATATAGATCAATGAATTACATCAAAACTACAGGCAACAATTAGTATAAATAATACTTTAATCAATGGCAGCAGAACATTGGTCAATTCTATTTAAAAAGCATCTTGTGTGAACAAACACCATGGGCTGACTGACAATGTCATCTCCCAACAAAAGGCTGCAATGGACAGAGTGAGATGGGAGTTCGAGGAGCAATGTCCTCAGCAAATACTTCATTCCCCCTAGTCACAACCCCAACACAGCTTTAAAAAACAACACCACCAAAACAAACACTTCTGGCTCATATTTGGGGGAACAAAGTGGAAACAAATAAAAGCAAATGGGCACTGAGCCTTTCTACATCTAGCTTTCTCTAGAGCACGTTCCCAGATGGAAACTCATTTCCTTCCCTGCCCTAGGTGGTTGGGGTGGGGGGTGGGGGGGGTCCTGCTTCTTCCCTGCCCCACTCCTGTGGGCCCAAATGGGTGCTGAGGTCCAGTTAGGACCTCAGGGTCGTGGGCTGCCCTCTGGGCCATCCAAGCGAAATTAACATTTCAAAAGGCAATTCCTGGAAGCTGAGAAGGAGAGCTGAGGACTTATAAACAAAGAAGTTGTTTCTCTGATTAAGTTACTTTCCTAAGTAATGGGGCTATGTTTGAGAATGAGCTTGGATTTTCTTCATCAAAACTTTCCTCTTGGCTTTATATTGGGACAGGGGTGAAGGTGTTTAAGTAGTTTTGGCATTTGGCCTAAAGCTGGGTTAAGTAACCTGAACTTTTGGGAAAGGGGGAATCTATAAATAATCTCTACAGTATATAGGGGTAGGCAAAAGTAGGTTTACAGGTGTAAGTATGAGGAATAGAATTTATTCTTGTATTATTATTGATTAATTATTGTATCACTTATTTGTATTACACTGTAAACCTACTTTTGCCCACTCCTGTATAGTAGTTGGTTGTTGTGAAAACATACTTTTACCCCCTCCCAAGGAGACGTTAAATGTATTCACAGATCTGGGTTTTAAGAAAGAATCTTAGCAACTTTCCAACTTGTCCAAGGATAACTGCTCTTTTCAACTGTTACATCCAAAGACCACTCTCCATGTCAGAGGGGGGAAAAAAAAGAAGAGAAGGGTAGTTAGAGTCCAAAAGGTTAAGGGTTTAGAGGTCAGTCCTCCCGGCTGAAATACAGCTAATCGAATAGAAAATTTGTCCTCTGGATGAACCTGATTCTGTAATTTAGCCCCGAACTTCAGTAAAATACCTTTTCAGCTTCTCAACGTGAGGGTGTCAGAAAAAAGACATCTTGACTATGTATGAACTCTGTGCTTTTTGTCATAGAAACAATGATGTGAATAATGCAGGAATATCCATCTTTAATATCCCGACGTGCCGATATTCAAGTATTGCCATGTGCAAGTCTGAGAGCCAGGCTCACCCCAAAGAGGAACAAAGAGCTGTCCCCAGGGTCTAATACAAAAGACCAAGGCTTGGAAGATACTTTAGAGAAGTGGAATTTCAGCCTAGGGACTCCAGTGAATACCTGCCCTCAACTCTCAGGAGACACTGAACCAAAGAACATGGCTGCAGAGAAAATCTTTTCTTTCCCCTACACCTAAATGTATTTTTAATTACCACTGAAACCTACTAAAGTGTTCAGAAGCACTGAAAAAAAAAAATAACCCCAATTCTGAGTCTCTCTTTTAAGCTCACCCTTTATCCCTCCCTGCTTTTGTCACTTTTTGATAGCTACAACCTGGGGTTTCTTTTTGGAGCCCCAGGCTTTGGGGTTTAAACTTTCGAAGCCCCGTTTCCTTTGAGTATATAAACCCTGGTCATTACCTTTGACTCTTTCTCCTTATCCCTACGGGTCAACATTTTAGAAAAATGAGCTTTGAACCCTTCCCAGGCAAGGCATAAGAAAAATGATTTAAAAATATCTCTCCTGTTGTTTGAGAGCGATTGTTTTAAACCACTATTCTCAAGGCAAGAAAGAGGGCCTGAAAACTTTTGTACTTTTACAATTTCTGCTTCCAACTAATGGATTGAGAAAAACTTCCTTAAGGTTTGTTTTAAAAATAAAAACTTCAGGGAAAAACCCTAAGACCAACTTTCGTGGACTTCTAGATTCAATTAGGTTTTTTTTTTCCTTTTTAAAGTAAGACTTCCTCTACTTCCCACTTTCTTCCCACTGCACACCCCCTTCTCCCAAATAGGCCATACACCAGTTCTTATAAAATATTGCTAGATGGGCTATTTGGGCATTTGGAATCCAGTTGGAACAGAAAATTTGGTCATTATCAAATGACCCAGAACAGAGGTTTTGTTTTCTTTCCCCAGAAGGAAAATGTTGGACCATTTGTTTCTTTCTTTTTTTTCCTTTCCTTTAACAACCTTTAATACTGGTTGTAGCACAGTGCTGAAAAAAGCACATGTGGAAATATATTTTCAAGAATGCAACTCAGAGTGGACTCTTTGCTTCCCTCTAGAAGGGTTAAGGGCCCCTACACACATTTCCGGGGAATGGGGAGGGGGTGGGGTTCAAAATGCCAGTTACAGCCTGAAGTAAGTCCACACATCTCTGATTCTGTTCCCTGAAATTTGGACCCTTTCACCATCTTAAGGTTTTTGGCATTAAGATGTCAGTTATTTCTGTACCCCATTCCCCACCAAATAAATATTTAAGCAAATATAATCTAAACATAAAACAACCCGTTTCCACTTCCTTCTTAGACTCATTTCTTTGGGCATGGGCCAGTGGGAACAATGTATATAATTTCACACTGGAAATTATACAGACAACCCAGAAAGTTCAGAAATCCTGGCACAGCTCTCCTGCTTCCATTGAAAGCACCTAGCACAGGGGTGGCTAACCTGCTGCCTGACTCCCCCACTTTATTAAACCACAGCATCCCTGGAGGGGTGGGGTGGGGGAGGATGTTCAAATTCACACTGGGGTAAAGCATTCAACCTTCACTTGTAAATTCAAAATCCAACAGCGGAGATTTTCATGAGTTTAATGACTCGCCAAGGTTTTATGTTCTCAGTAGCTCCTGCCATATGATCATATACTTAGAGAGAGAGTCCCGTCCCCCTCCCACCCCCATACCCGCTCCAGGTAGGGGGCTGCCCTCGGGCAGGATGCTAACCTAGTCCAAGGACGGCCTGCACGTCCCAGGTCCACCCTACAGTACCTTAGAGCCCAGCGAGGTGACAGCAGGCCGGGCCTGCCCCTGCGGCTTCGGCTCAGCCGGGAGCGCAGGGAGGGATGGGCCCAGGGTCCCCACTTCTATAAGGTCGTCAGGTCCGTGTGGTGGTCCTTGGCCAACGGCTGCAAATGCTGGCCGGGGGCGGCCGAGGAGGAGCAGGAGGACGAGGAGGACGAGGACCTGCCTTTGGTGTTGGGCAGCTTGTGGTCTTTTTTCCACTTCATCCTCCGGTTCTGGAACCAGATCTTGATCTGGCGCTCAGACAGACACAAGGTGTGAGCGATTTCAATCCGACGGCGCCGCGTCAGATACCTGTTAAAATGAAATTCCTTTTCCAGTTCTAGGACTTGCTGCCGGGTGTAGGCTGTCCGGGACCGCTTGGGCTCCCCGCCGGTGTAGTTGGGGTTCACTGAGAGACAAAACAGACCGCACGGTCAGGTCAGCGCCTGGCCACTAGTTAGGCCCCTGGCCAACGCGCTCACTTCCTGGCGCGCCCCGGGCCCTCCCAGCGCTCCCAGCCGCTCTCCCTCCCGCCCGCCCTCTCCCCCAGCACACACGCTCGCTCCTACCACCTCATCACACCAACCCACTCCCCCACGCTGGCAGGCGGGGATCCCCAACTGTGCTCCCATCTCCCCGGCCCACCGAAAGCTCCGGAATTTCCAAGCATTTTGGAAAGCCCCCATTTCTCTCCACCGTGGAGCCTCTGTTCTGAAAATGGAATCCTCCTCCCCCCTCCATCTCCACCCCCCTTTTGCCCACAGACATGCAGCCAGCCACATGGTCCCGGCCTGCTCCCTCAGCTATAAAAATTTATGGAGAGAGTAACTGAGGTGCCCACTGAAGCCCCACGCGCCCACACCCATCCGCACCCCGCACCCCCCCCCCCCCGGGGCGCAAGCCGCGGGGCTGGGGTGTAGGCTGAAAAGTACCTGGGCCCGCGCCTTACCGGAGTTCACGGGCACCTTCTTCATCCAGGGGTAGACCACAGCCGGCTGCTTGAGTGCCGTCCCTGGGGGCGGCTGCTTGGGGCCGCCCGGCTGGCTGCAGGCCCGGGCGCCTGGCAGGGGCGCGGGCGGGGGCGCAGGGGGCGCCGGGCACGGCTCTCCGGGGGCGCCGTAGTGGCCTGCTGGGTCTTGCGCGTGACCCCTCGTGGGCAGCGCCGAGCCCGGGCCCGGGCCGCCGCCTCCGAAGGTCTGCTCACCGAAATCGGGCCGCGGATAGAGCCCTGGGGGCTGGAAGTCAGCACCCTGTGCGCCGCCGCCGTAGTAGTCGGCTCCCTGCTCGCCTAGGTAGCCGCCCTGCAAATATTCCTCGCAGGGAGGGAACTTGGGGTCCACATACTTGGAGTTCACCATGTACGAACTCATGGCCATTAATTTCAGAAGGTAGAAAATACTAATTTTTCTCGTGTTGTCTTTTTTTCTCCTTCCATAGGGCCCTCCTACTTGCTGTCAACTGAATAAAGTTGGCGGCCATGTGACCAGGCCAGCCAATAGCGAGGGAGCGAGTTTATCACCGGGTTGGTGAGCATCTCATAATTTTCACAAATTTAACTAAATAACATACGTGTAATCAAGTGACTCGCTGTGGCACATTCGAGGGCCCTCATGAGATGTTAATATACTTATAACCCTCAGCACCCTCATCGCCCCAAAAGTAATTCCAGCTTTTGTCTGCCACTGACTTTGCTAACCTCCAGTGCCCTCTCTACTCACCAACCCGCCAGAAAACAGCCCCCCAAAGTGGGCACAGCTCAAAGTGGACTGAATCCGAATATCCGTTGGAGTGTAGGCACCAAAAGGCAGGTGGGTGAGGCAGCTCAGAGTTGGGCAGAATACCCCAGCAGGCAGAGCTCCCGCCAGCCCGGCCGGCCGCGGGAACGGGGACTGCCATACAAAGGCTCAGTCCCGGCTTTGTCTTCCTCAGGGTCACCCAAAAGTTACTACAATCTGGCTGGCCTGAATCCATTTAGGCAATGAGTAACCGCCCAGCTTTCTGTGAGTGCCCGAGCTGGGGTAATTCTAGCCAAAGCCAGGCCTTTCAGGTATGGCAAGAGGTTCCCCCTGCCTCTGCCCGTGAAGCTGAGAGGTGTGCCAGGAAGATGGCGAGGGTACCCCACCCCACCCAAATGGACCCCAAAAGGACTCTGCACTCCTTCTTTCCAGCTCGCTTCCTTCTCACAGGACACTCAAAGGCCAGTGAGCCCCTCATGGGGCACCCTCCAACCTCATGCTCCTTGAGGGCCGAGCTGGGGCTACCTGGCCTCCCACCGCACTCCCCAGCCCTCCAAAACCTAGCCCTTTGGCTCCGAATTCCTGCAACCAATTAGGTGTTTACACAGGAGCCTCCGTATAAAGGTGAGGTGCTTCTTGAAGAAAAGGGTGCTCTCTGTCACCAGGCTCAGTCGATCCGCTGATCATCCTGGAGTCCAACGTAATAAAAGAGAAAGAGGTGGTTGACCCGCCCCGGCTGTTTCTGGCCTCTCCTTCTGACTCAGGCTATTTTGGAGAAAAGTGAAGTTTTTGCATCGACCATATATTCCCCTAGAATCGAATCTGTGACTATGTGGATACCACACAAATTCGGTTCTACAGGGTATATATAGACAACGTTACTACGTTCAAGTTCCACCCAAATTGGGCACCCAGACCGCTGCTAGCCTTGGCCTCTTCCTCGGAGCCACCACCAGCCCGACACAGCCCCTGGCATTTTCAAAGATGGTTCAGGTAGCCTGAAGGGCTTGGTGGCAATTGGCAGCAATGAGTTCCCCACCCTTTCACTAGGGCGGGGGTTACCAAGCAGCCAGGGAGCCAGAACAGTCTTCTTAGGGAAGAAAAAATATTCATCCCAGAAATGGCGGTTTTATTATTCCTCTTTCTCCAAATCCAATATCCCTCCCCCCTTATCAAGTGGCATTTTCCAGAAAGGAGCAAATGCCCTCAGTGACAGAAGAAAGGCAAGAGGGGAATATTCTCCATCCACTATTTTTTTCTCCTGCCGGGGTGAGCCAGGTTGGCTGACAAAGCTAGTTCTTCAAGAAGTCGCGCATTTACCTTCCTGGGCCCTGAGCCCGGCTGGCCTCTCCGTCCTGCTGCTGCTGCTGCAGACCCCGAGGCAGAAGCTGCTTGCAGGCACCAAGCTGCCCTGGGCTGGGGCCAATGCACTAATGGTGAAGGGCAGGGTGAGGGGTCATTCAAAATCATTTACAAACATATCACAAAGTTTCATTATTTTTGCTTTGCCGACAGCAGCACACAAGAGTACAAAAGTTCACGAATTGCGTGCCTGCCCCAGCGCTTCAGCACTGTCTGGGGCTCACCCCTCCATTCAGGGCACCGAGAGCACAGACGCGCCCAAGGCCCGGATGAATTTCGGGGGCAGAGGGATGCTCAGGATTGAGTGGGGCTTTGGGATCCCTGACTGTGGGGCAGAGGCATTAAAATGTTTTTTGATTGTTTTGTTTTTCCACTCATGTTTCAAAAATTTGTTTTGGCCTGGTGGGGCGGAGCAGGCAGACTCCCCTCTGCCCCCCAGCCTGGCAAAATTGGCTGCCTGCTTCTACAATGCACTTTGCACACTCCCCCCACCCCAATCCGTTGGTTCCAGTGCTTTAGCGATTTTGTAGGGATTTCCTGGTGCCAATTCTAACAAGAGCTCTGAGGCTGCCCCAAGCCTACGTCCCTTGTCCCAGGGAGATTCCCCCCAACTACCCCTAGTGCCAAATGTTCCCCCACACTCCCCATCTTGGGGACACTGGGTCTAGGCTTTATCCAGGCAAATTGGGGGAGCCTGCTGGGTAGGGTGGGGAGACAGTGAGGGTACACATTTTCATATTTGTTAGACGCTGTGACCTGCATTTCACCTTATTGCTCGACTTGTTCAGACAGGTCAAAGCCAATGAGTTATTGATGAACAAAAGCGTTAAATATTCACCTCCCGCACCACTGCTCATACAAATGCTTTGATCTCCGTTTTTTGTGCTGTGTTTAGCTAGAGGGTGCCAAATGTGGGTTTTCAAGCGAGGAGCATCAGCAGAGATAAGCACCCCAAGAGCCAGGGCAACTGGCAAGAAGGGGGCAAGACGAGAGGGTCCTGAGGATGCCAGACTTTCCAGCCTGGAGCCAGAGCCATTTCACTCGAGCCAGCGTGGTTGTACAGGGAAGCTGTGTACTGGGTGAAATCTCCGCTTCTCCAGTTAGCGTAATCCCCAGGGAGGGAGCGGACTAGGCTCCCCAGCCTGTAGGGCAAAGAAACCTGGCCCAGAGTCAAGTCCCAGCTTCTCGGACCCTGGAGAGAGGGTGACTCACCAGAGAGGGAGGGTGCCTGGTTCCTACAGCCCTGGCACATTCCATCTCTCATTAAAATAAAACCATCTCCATTTTGCAGTGAGGGAGGGGGCCACTTTTTCCCCCCTTGACTCTTGAACCACTACCTTGATCCTTGAACCACTACCTTGATCTTAATCTGGCAGTCTTCCTGAAACTTCAGGGGCCTCCTCCGATATATACCTTTCTTCTGTGGCATATGCAACTCAGAAAGATCCAACTTCTGAGCCCAGGACCCCCAAAATCTATGCCCCCCACCTCACTCCTCCCAGCCACCCCCCCCCATTTTCCTGCAACACCAGCGGCTTTGGCGCAAAAATTTTCCAATTGCAGCTACAGAAAATCGGAGGTGGACCAGAAGGGCATATTCCTCCCTCCTTACTCAGCCCATGTCCCCAAACCAGAACCCAAACTGCTGAGACTAGGGCCGGGGGAGGGCTGAGAAGGGACTTCCATCTAAAGCTCAGAATCCGCAGCCCTTCCCGGAAGCTTGCCCACTCAACACAGCCGAAGAGTGGGTTTTTGTTTGTTTGTTTCATCTCTTTTTCTTTCTTCTTTTTATAAAAAACAAGAGGCGGTTGGTCCCGGCGGGACCAGGTTAAGTTGGGCTGGGCTGCTGAGGCAGATCGCGTTGCCTGGGTATTTGGCAGGTTGGTTCTAGCAGAAGGCGATGCTAGCCGCAACTTAATAGGGCGGGCTGCTCATTAGCTGCCAGCTCTGAGCAGAAGCGTACTCCCGCCGGAGCTGCACCTGTGCGAGCCAGGAAGCCCCGGGAAGGCCGGGAGGTCCAGGGAGGCCCAAGAAGATGTGGGTGAAAGCCCGCGTGGCACGTTCCCTTAGTTAGGTAACTGTGAGCTAGGCCCCAAAAAAATCTTTCCAGGAGCTCAACTTAGAGCCTCCACCTCCAAAGCGAGCTCCCCTCCCCTCGGCAGGCCAGGGGCAGGGCCGTCCTTCCACCCGCCCACTCCCCGGGCGCGGCCCTGGCCCACCACCTCCCCAGCCAGCAACACCGCCTCTGCGATTCGGAAAAAACGGGAAGGTACTCACAGCGGCGGTCTCTCCTGGTCCCGAACCTGTTGCAGTGAAAACGGGGGTCACTTAAATTCCACAGGACAATAAGGCAGACATCGATGATACACAGGAAAATGACAAGGCCCAGACACCCCACCAATACCCAGACCTCCCCGCTTCGGCTGCCCGCCCCCAGGAACTGCGCCAAGTTCTCCGCGGAGCGCAGACCGCAGTCCCCAAGGGCAGATCCACGGAGTAGGAGAGTATGGCCCACATCACCTCCCCCTTCCATGCACCCTTGGGCAAAACCTGACTGGTTGTTTGGCCTGACTCGGGCTGCTTGTAACAGGGTTTCCCCAGTGGGAACACGGGAAGCGAGGAGAAAATGGGCCTTTGTGTGTTTCCTTATGCAGAATAGGCTGGGTGGGCGCAGGTCCACTGGGGAGGGGGCAGTCGCTGCATCTGTCCCCCGCTTCCAGTCTGTCTGATGCTGAGAGCAATTCAGCCCCCTTTTCCAGTTTCAGACTGGTTCTCAAACTCCCATACTAGTACCCCCCAAACTAGTATCCCCCAAACCTGTCTTCTCCTTCCCAAAGAAGGACCAGGCAATACTGGGACTTGCCTTCCCACTTATGCTCCAATTCAAAACAAAGAGCAATTTCCAAGGGAGATGAAGACCCAAATGATAACCCAGGAGGAGGAAAATCAATGGGTTTCAAAGTAAATGGCAATGCTTTAGATTGTTATCCAGCTCTATGGATGTGGCATCATTTTGTCAGCATTGCTGCTGGAGAAACCACAAAGCAATCTTACAAAGCAGTGGTCCCCACAGAGACTGGTGTCCAGCTTTTTAAGTTTTCAGTCTCCTCAAGTCCTATTCTAGGCTGGCAATCTCCTCTGAGAAATCTGAGCATCAAAGCCATCTCCATGCTCATCCTTTCCACCTAGACTACCACTGTCTTATTCCACTTCTAAAACAGATGCTCTACATAGAGAAGAGAGAGACAGTGAGACCCTCTTGTGAAGTGGGAACTCTCCATTCCCAACTTTCTGTGTCCAGAGGGAGGGGAGAAAACAGGGATTACCCTTCTATTTGTTATTTTAGGTTTAGGCTAAAATTAGAAATTACTTTAATGGGACTTCTTCCCACCCCAGGTGGAAAAGAGAGGCAGAGAAATCCCCCACCCGTGGAGCTGTTCTGGAAAAAGTAGTAAATGACTTACTGGTTCTCTCTCCTAGTGGGCAGGGGAGCTGAGAGTAGAACGGCCTCCTTCTGAGCCCGGCGCTAGCTGGAGCCTCTCACTTTCCTATCGCTGCTCCAGGAACCAAGCATCTGCACTTGTATGCTCTTAACCTAATTTATGGTGGGAATTATATTTTGGCTTGTCAACTCTCAAGCCATAAAACAAAGTTTATTGGAATCACGTGCTCGTAAATAGCCATTCAGGTCCCATCTCTGCAGAACCATAAATAACCTTTGGCTTTAAACTTTTATTCACTAAATAAAGGTTCACTGCAACTGTTCCCTCACATTTAAATAGTTCCAAATATCCAGAATGCACAGGGGTCAGATTCATATCAATACCCCAGGCTTTTCAAATAGCATCTTTTCAGAGAAGTCCGTTTAAGTTGGGAGATAGTACTATTTGGAAAAGGCTGGTTGGTGGGCATGTCTTATGATTCTTTGGCTGCATTCGCTGTGAGTACCTTCAACTCCTTTATTTCAATCATTTTCTAGCTCTAGATGTGGTAAATAAATAAAGAGAAAAGTCAAAGGCCACTTTTTAACTTGCTTATACCAGATATTATTTGAGATTTTGTTCAAGCTTCAATAGTAAAAAGGGTGTTTTGGAGAAGTTGGGTGGGCTTGGGGGTGGGTGGCAGCTGGAGTTAACACTTGGCTCTGTATTGTTGTGGATGGGCTCAGCAAAGTCTAAGGTAGTCACATGCCTAGAAGTTTCTATAATTTGCTTAGATCTGAAAGGAAAGCCTTTGCAAGTGACCAAACTGCTTAAAACAGCAAGACTTGGGGTTTGGTAAAGTGCGAAAGTAGAGAATAGCTCCATCGGAATCTTTGGCAACTAAAGCTCTAAAGAAGGTTATAAAACAATAAAACAGCCCTGGTGTGAAGGGGAGAGGGTGTGAGGAAGCAAATGAGGCTCTCAAGGAACCCAAGCCCAGGAAGTCAGATGTCCCCACTCCCCCAGTGCCCCAATCACTGGGCTCAGTCCGGGGCCCAAACCTGGATGGGTCATCTCCCCCCAACTCCTGAACTGCCACTCCCACCAGAGAGAGAGAAAGAGCCTAAGAGAGCTGGGGGGAGCATGCTCTCCTGCTGAGAAAGCCAAGAAAAGGAGTTGGGCCTGAGGGCTGCTCTACTGGAGAGTGTGACATTCTATGCTTGGGGGAGGTGGGGTGGGAAAGAGGCCCCCAGCTCCCAGCAACAGAAGTAAATACAAAGAACTGATCCCCAGCATCCTTCCATAGCCTTCCAGAGTGCCCCCAGTGTGAAAACATGTGTGATTTTTACAATTCTGATGAAAAGAATGGATGCTCTGTGTAGATTTGTAGAGCACATACACATATATAATTTCTAAGTCAAATTCAGTTGCAAAAGTTCTCATCAGCAAGTCCCATCAAGTGCATAAAAGAGATCCCTCTCTACAAAGATCACTTTGCATTCTAATTTCCACCCATTCTCCATGCATTTCAAAACCCATTTCCTGATTTGACTTTCATTGGCTAGAAAGCAGGGGGTGGGGCTGTTAGCCTATAGCACCCACTTCTCCTCCCCCGCACCATTAACTACTTAGGAGGATCTTTTCTTTTACAATTGGTAGTATCTGTTTTTAAAATGCGTAAAGATCAACCTCTAAAAAATGGTTTCTGATTCTGTTAGTACTAAGTGAGCAGCTTCAAACATAGTCCCTGTTAAACCACTGTATAAAAATAATCAAAGTTGGAAGCGTAGGGAAGCTTCTTTATTTTTCCTTAAGTTAATAAAACGGAATTAAACAAAGGATGTATGACTTTCTAGGCAATTGTGATGAACTTTCTATAGGGGTGGGAGGTGGTGTTTGAAACAATGCCTGGCTAGTTGCAGTTTAGTAGATTTTTTTTTTAATGTATGATGATGAAAGATGGTGATTGGGACTTGCTTGTAATCTTCACTGTGGCATACAGCAGATGAATAAAATTAAACAGCCTGCTCTGTATATTCTGATAACAACAGTAACTAGCTATGCATAGGGGGAGGGAAGAGAGGAAGACAGTGAAGCAGACACCTTCGATTACTTTTCTAATCTTAGAAGAGACAGAAAACATGATTAAGGAGAAAGTGTCCACCTTCCTACAATATTCCTTTGCCCTCCCCTCCCACAACCCCCAATGTCCTGGGCTTCTGTAGATGAATGAGAGAGCGGGGATGAAGAAGAGCAAACTCCATCTAGTAAGAACTTGAGCACCAGGAGGGGACAGCAGACTAGCTTGGGCTAATTTGTTGAGGTTTGCCCAAGGACTTTCAATGGTGGTGATAGTGATAACGAAAGAGAAGGTAGGGGAGGAAAAGTTGAAGTTTTCGTAAAGACCTGTAAGGAATTTGTTTCTGGGTAAAGTGAGGCTGTAGACACTGTCCTTCCCCATTTGGCTAGAAAGATCCAGTTCTGAATTCCTCCCAGAGAACTCCCATAAGGTAGAGTCCCTGTAGGGCTCATCCCAACCTCGAAGCCAGAACAGCTCCCAGGAAGGAGGATGCACCAGCTATACTCCAAATGTAATGAGGTCTGTCTTCTGCCCACCCTAAGAGCCCCTCCTATGTGGCCCCAGGAAAGAGTATTCTGATCTTGACTTTTAAGAGGTTTCTTGCCCAGAGGTGATATTAAGCTCTCCCCTTAAACGAAACATCTGCACAAGCAGAATAGGTATGGTTGAGACTTTGGATGAACTCTCTGGGCCAGGGACAGAAGGAGAAAGGCCTGGCCCTTAGGGACATGCTGGGGGTGGAGCCAAAGAAGGGCTGATCAGGGAGTCCCACGCAGGAGGGAAATATGATTCCATATTCTTGGCACTGTGCTCTACCACTGAAAGAGGAACATACTCTTGCCACCCTACTCTTACCCCCTGCAATGGAATTCATGCATTGGAGCTTTGCCTCGATGTTCTCTGGGAAGAAAGGTGACTGCAGAAGAAAACTTCAATAGTGAGAGATGAGAGCCAAAAGAATGGGCCCTGG